GGGCCGCGGCGGTCGGCTGCGGCCCGGGCGCCGTCCGGCTCGTTTTCAGGGGCTGTGGATGAGAAGAGGATCTCTTTAGCCCTGGGCAGCAATTTGTAAGGACCCGCCAGCTTCGGCAATTCGATGGCAGCCGCTGGCGCCCCCTGCGGCTGCCCGTCCCGCCCACGCTCCCGCCCCCAGTCCCGCCCCTGCGGCTGCCCCCCGCGGCTGTCGCGATCCGCGCCCACGCGCCTCCGCAGCCGCCCGCTACGACCATCGTCGGTGTCGCCGCCGCCGCCGACGCCGTCGCTGAGCTGGCGCGCGGCAGTTCGGCCGTTCTGGTGCTGCGGAGGGCTGCCAGCCGACAGCCTTCGCCGCTGCCACTGCCACTGCTGCCGCTGCTGCCGGCCCTCGTCGCTGTCGGACGGCACAAGCGCATCCTTATCAGAGCCATGCCTCTGACCCTGACCCTGACCCTGTGCCTGCCCCTGACCCTGCCCGACACCCTGCTCCTGACCCTGCCCATCACCCTGCCCCTGACCCTGCCACTCCCCCCGAACCGCCCCCTGCCGCTGCGCCGTGCGCGCGCCTGGCCTCAACCGCGGATCCCGTGCCTGCAGGTCCGGCAGGTGTGCTCGCCGCACCCCCAGCTGCGAGGGATCGTCCGCGTGCGCCTGCAGCCCGTTCTTCTGCTCCTCCTCCTGCTGCTCCCGCTGCTCTCGCCGCTGCTGCCGCTGCTGCCGCTGCCGCAGCTGCGGCTGCTGTTGCTTCTGCTGCTGCTGCTGCTGCTGCTGCTGCTGCCGCTGCTCCTCGTCGCTGCCCCCGCTGCTGCCATCGTCCAGCACCTGCACCCGCTGCGCCAGCCGCCGCGGCCGCAGCAGCCGCGCGCGGCGGGCCGCGGCGGCCTGAGCCGGCATGCTGACGCCATCAAGCAAATCGATGACATCACTATCATCCCCGTCGTCCTGGGCGTTGGCCTGATCGGAGCCACAATTTGCGAACTGCATCTGGGGACCCGGCCGATGTGCTGCGCCGGCCGCTGCGCCGCCGCGGCCCCGCTTCCGGCTGCCTGACGGTGCGTGCGCCGGGGATGCGCGTGCGGGGCGCCTGCTTGCCACCCTGCGCCCCTGCGGCTGGGGCCCCTGCGCAAATGCATGCGCAGGGTCCTGCTGCTGCTGCTGCTGCTGCTGCTGCTGCTGCTGCTGCTGCTGCTGCTGCTGCTGCTGCTGCTGCTGCTGCTGCTGCTGCTGCTGCTGCTGCTGCCGCTGCTGCTCGCGCTCTAAATGGTCTTCGAAGCTGCTCCCACCCAGATCCATGCTGCCCGTCGGGCCGAGCGGCGAGTCCGGCCACTGCTCAGCATGCGCAGGGCGCTCCTCTGGAAGCTCCCAGAACGGCTCCGCCGCCGCAGCGGCAGCAGCCGCGTCGTCCTCTGTGGGTTCATCAGAAAACAGGCTGTAGAAGACCTGATAGGATAGGGTCCGACCGTGTCGGGGGTCACGAGGGGCGCGGCGGTGGGGGCGGGGCGGGACGGCAGTCGGCGGGGCGCAGCGGCGGCGCTTCGCGGCGGGGGGCCGGCTGCGTGTGTCGCGATCGAGAGCTCTGCCGATGCGGCGCCGGCCGCCGGCGCACTCTTGGCGCCGGCTCGCGCGGGCGGACGCCGCCACGTGTTTGCGCTGTGCTCTGAGAGCTTGCCGCAGCTGCGGCGGACGGTATGTGGAGCTGCAAGCGAGCATGAGCACTTGCAGCCCCTGGTTGCGGATGCTTGCATGTTGTGCGTTTCTGGATGTTGCAACCAGAACCTGGGCAGGGGAGCGCAGCGCAGCGCGAGCCGCCCAGCGCGAGGTGCGGTCGCAGCGGCACACCTGCTTGTGGACGCGCATCACGCCACAGGCATCCCCGCTCGCGGATGACTAGGATCGCGACCTACAAGTGATAGGCCACATGTTCAAACATGTGGGCAAGCACGGCAGGGAACGTGAGGAGTGTGCGTGGGGATATCAATCGGGTCTGAAAACATAGGTTTGTAACATGTTCTTACAGACAAGTATCTAAGCCACGTAGATCATCTCACGATACGGTCAAGTCGGTGTCCTCATGGTCCTCATTAGTGATCTGGTCTCGTTGCTGTTCTGACGCCGTTGCTGCAAGTCGCACTTTAATCGTGGGTGCGTGATTGCTTCAGTACATACACCACACATTACACCTGATAAACAAAATGATCAATTGCTATTCCCTCACTCTTCAGCAGTTGACCACCACTGTGTATTGATTTTTTGTTTGACTTCTGCGCACAGACACCCCTCGGTGGCTAAAACAAGACTGCTTGCTGCTGCAATGCTCATCAGAATGACAACACACATCATCACAATCAACGCCTTGTGTTACATTTGCAATGTGGCCAATATGGTTCGATACATCAGTCCCACAAACCAAAAGCCTCACTCACATTCAATCCTGTAAGGGCACTGCCTAGACCGTTCCGAGCGCATGATCACCTCGCCCCTACACTCATGATGAAATCAAAGACAACCATCCTGCTGGTCCCAGAGCCAACCCTGATTTCAGCAGAGAAACAGCAACACATCGCGCGGCTGCATTCATTGCATTCATGTGAACAAGGTCAGCATTTCCTTCACATGACTTGCAAACATAGCACCGCCGGCAGTCTATTGCATACCGCCACCGTAGTGCTGGTCGTACATGGAGGTGGCCTTTTGCTGGGCCGCAGCGACCGTTTGCGCTGTTGGTAGGTTTGAGCATGGCAAACAGGTGTTGGGACGCGAGCAGTGGGGTAAGCGTACTATTAGGACAGGATAGGGTTTTAGCAGTGGTTGGGGGGTGGGGACAACCCTCCACACAGAATGCGTATGATAGGCTGCTAGCTGATGATACGCCCAATGATACGCCCGTTGGACAAGGTGCATGGTCCGCGGCTTGCTGCAAGAGGTTTTCTGCTACAAAGAATGGCCTGGATAGGGTCGGCTGAGCCGAGGTCATTAAATGTGACCGATCAGGCTCAGGGTCAACCTTGGCCCCATCAACGAAGGCCGCAGGCATCCAGCGCCCGCTCACCGCGCTCCTCGCGACCCAGGCCGCGGCTCTCGGCTAGGCGGTCAGCCTCGGCCCCTGCGATGCTCGCGAGGACCTCCCTGGAGGCGACGGCAGCGGCAGCGGCAGCGATTGGTGTTATTGTTTGGTTTTTGAGGGGCGTGAGGGGCAGGCGTGTGCAACAAGCACACAGGCTAGGGCGCTGTGCGTGTGGGTGGGCAACGAAGCCATCCATGGCGGCAGCACAACCAACAATTCACATGCAAAAGTGAGTACGTTTGACCGCTTCGGTCCTATTCACAACGTGTGCGTGACGTGCAGAGCCCTTGGAGAGAAAAAGCGTCCCGTTTCTTGCCGGCTCATGGGTCCCCCCCCCCCCCCCCCCCCCCCCCCCCCC